TCTCGGCTCACTGCAACCTCCTCTTCTCAGGTTCAAGTGATTCTTGTGCCTCAGCCATCAGAGTAGCTGGGATTACAGGCATGCACCACCATGCCTGGCTAATTCTTGTATTTTTAATAGAGATGAGATTTAACCATGTTGCCCAGGCTGGACTCAAACTCCTGGCCTCATTTGATCTGCCCACCTTGGCCTCCTAAAAGTGCTGAGATTACAAGAGTGAGCCACCACGCCCAGCCTAGCTCCCACTTACAAGAGAATATACGTGATTCCAAACTTTGTAATCTTAGGATAAGTCCTACTTAGTCATAATGTATAATCCTTTTTCTATGTTGCTGGATTTGGTTTACTAGCAATTTGTTGAAGATTTTTTCCATTTGTATTCCCAAGAGATTATTGGTCTTCTATTTGCTTTTCTTGTGACATCTTTCTCTGGTTTTGGTATCAGAGTATTAAGAGTGACCTCATAAAATTGAGGACACTCTTCTCAATTGAGGAGTATTTTCTTCTCTTCTATTTTTTAGGAGACTCTATGAAATAGTGGTGTTAATTCCTTACCATCTGGCTTACCATCTGGTCCTGGGCTTTTCCCTGTGGGAAGTTTTAAAAGGATTATTCCAACCTCTTTACTTGTATATTTCATTAATACAGAAATTGACAAAATTTGTTATTGATTTCTGATTTTATTCCAACGTGGTCAGAGAACATATGTAGTATGATTTCAATTCTTTTAAATTTACTGAGACCTATTTTATGGCCTAGCATGTGATCTACCCCAGAGAATGTTCCATGTGCACTTGAGAAGGATGTCTATTTTGCTGCTGTTGGGTGGAGTGCCTTGTAGATATTTGTCAAGTTTAGTTGGTTTATAGTGTTTTCTATTTTCTTTTTGATCTTCTGCCTAGTTTCTCTAGCTATTACTGAAATGGAGTTTTGAGGGTTCTGACTAATTGTAGTTAAATTGCCTGTTTCTTCCTTCAGTTCTCTCAGTTTTTATGTCATGTATCTTTAGGCTGTATTGCTAGGTACATATGTTTGTAATTGTCATATTTTCCTAATGGACTGATCCTTTTATCAATATAAAATGTCCTTGACATACAGGTGGCCACATATGAAAAAATGTTAATCATCACTAATCATCAGAGAAATGCAAATCAAAATCACAACAAGATTTCATCTCATGCCAGTCAGAATAGCTATTATTAAAAAGTCAAAAAATAACACATGCTGAAGGGGCTGTGGGAAAAAAAGAGAATGCTTATACACTGCTGGCAGGAATGTAAATTGGTTGAGCTACTGTGGAAAGAAGTTTGAGATTTCTCAAAGAATTTAAAACAGAGCAGCCAGGCACGGTGGCTCACGCCTGTAATCCCAGCACTTTGGGAGGCTGAGGCAGGCGGATCACCTGAGGTCAGGAGTTCAAGACCAGCCTAGCCAATATGGTGAAGCCGTCTCTGCTAAAAATACAAAAATTAGCTGGGTGTGGTGGCACACGCTTGTAGTCCCAGCTACTTGGGAGGCTGAGGCAGGAGAATCACTTAAACCCAAGAGGCGGAGGTTGCAGTGAGCACAGATCACGCCCACCACACTCCAGCCTGCGTGACAGAGCGAGACTCCATCAAACAAACAAGCAGAGCTACTATTCAACGTAGCCTCCCATTACTGGGTATATATCCAAAAGAAAACAATTCATTCTACCAGAAAGACACATGCACCTATATATTTATCACAGTGCTCTTCACAATAGCAAAGACATGGATTCAACCTAGGTGCCCATCAGCAGTGGACTAGATAAAGAAAATGTAGTACATATACACCACGGAATACTATGCAGCCAGAAAAAAGAATGAAATCATGTCCTTTGCAGTAACATAGATGCAGGTGGAGGCCATTATCCTAAGTGAAATAACACAGGAACAGAAAACGCGAGACCAAACATTAGATACACATGGACACAAAAACAGCAACAACAGACACTAAAGACTACAAGAGGGAGACGGGAGGGAGGGGAGCAAGGATTGGAAAGCTAACTATTGGGTACTATGCTCACTACTTGGGTAATGGGATCTGTTCCCCAACCTCAGGACCCATGTAACAAACATGCACATGTACCTCCAGAATCTAAAATAAAAGTTGGAACTATTAAAAAAAAGTCCTTCTTTGTCTGTAGAAACAATTTTTTTCTTAAAGCCTATGTTGTTTAATATTAGTATAGCCATTCCAGTTCTCTTTGAGTTACTGTTTGCAAAGTATATCTTTTTCCATCATTTTACTTTCAACCTATTTGTGTTTTTTAATCTAAAGTGTGTTTTGCCAGGTGCATTGACTGATGCCTGTAATCCCAGCTAGTCAGGGGAGACTGAGGCAGGAGGATTGCCTGAGGCCAGGAGTTCAAGATCAGCTTGGGAAACAAAGTACGACCCTATCTCTAAAAAAAAAAAAAAAAAATTTGTTTTGGAGAGATATTTGCACTCCCATGTTTCCTGCAGCCTTGTTTACAATAGCCAAGATTTGGAAGCAACGTAAGTGTCCATCAGCAGATGAATGGATAAAGAAAATATGTTGCGTACACACAATGGAGTACTGTTCAGCCATAAAGAGTGAGATCCTGTCACTTCCAACAACATGGATGGAACTGGAGATCATTATGTGAAGTGAAATTAGCCAGGCAAGTTTTGAAGAAAGCCAGGCCCTATCTCTAAAAAAATTGCCAAGTATGGTGGCAGGTGCCTATAGTTCCAGCTACTCGGGTGGCTGAGGTGGGAAGATTACTTGAAACCAGAAGTTTGAGGCTGCAGTGAGCTATCATTACACCACTAGACTCCAACCTAAGCAACAGAGCAAGATTCTGTCTCTAAATAATAAAAATAAAATGAAGTGTTTTTTGTAGATAGCATATAGTTGGATCATGATTTTTTTAAAAATCAATTTGCCAGTCTCTACCTTCTGATAGAGTACTTAATTCATTCACATTTAATGAAATTACTGATAAGGCAGGATTTAGCTACCATTTTACTGTGGTTTCCTACGCCTCTTGCCTTTTTTTCTCCTCTATTTTTCATTACTTCCTTCTCTTTTCTGAAATATATATTTTCTAGTGTAACATTTCCGTTTCTTGTCATTTTTTACTATGTATTTAAAATTATTTTCTTAGTGGCTTGTGTGTCTCGAGGTGGACTCTTTCAGTCTTTCCAACTTAGAATTTGTTGAGCTTCTTGGATTCACTTTAATGTTTTTCCTCAAAGTGGGAAAGGTTTTGGCCACTATTTCTTCCAATATATTTTTTATCCCCTTCCCTCTCTCTCACTTCTCCATTCTAGGACTTCTATCTTGTGTATGTTGGTATGTTTGATGGTGTCTGAAATGTCTCAAGCACTGATCAATTTTCTTTGCTGTTTTTTTTTTTTTTCTATTCCTCAGACTGGATAATCTCAAATGGTTTCTAATTCACTGATTCCTTCTTTTACCAGTTCACACCTATTTTTAAACTTCTCAAGTAAATTTTTCGTTTGTATTTTTGTACTTTGCAACTCCAAAATTTCTACTTGGTTCTATTTTATAAACTTCTTTCCCTTCCTTCCTTCCTTCCCTTCCTTCCTTCCTTTCTTTTTCTTTCTTTCTTTTTCTGGGTTGCTGGTAAAAGGATGAGTTAGACTCCCTTCTTCTCTTGCCATGTGATGCCTTGTGCCATGCTATGAGGCAGCAAGAAGGCCCTCACCAGATATGGCCCCTTGATATTGGACTTTTCATCCTCCAGAACCATGAGCCGAATACACTTCTCTGTAGCATTCTGTTACGGCAATACAAAATAGACTAAGATATGGAGGGATGCCTTGGGGAAAACACCTTTAAAATATTACTACACCTCTGTGCTATAAGAGAACTTAAGGTTAAGGAGAAGGACAGCAAGTGGGACCAGTCTTTAAGAGAAGTTCTCCAAAGGCTTTGGACCTGTCCACTCTCAGGCGCCTAAGTAGCTGCCTGCCTGGGTCCATGTCTGCTTGCCCCCTGCACCGTGCCCATGCGATCTCTTCTGAGTCCACTGGGAATGTGTCATGCTGCATTTGAAACCTGTTCGGAGCGGGGTGCCAGGGCTTCTGGGCCTCTGGCATGGAAACCTTTCCTGTGCCAGAGGTGTATTTAGGAAGTGGAAGCGGCCACAGAAGGCAGGCCACCCACACAAAGTAAAGATGTTCAAAGCATTCAGCCTTATTGCACAAGAAGTTACAAGTTAATAACAATGTGCACTAATGAAACTCTTTCTATCCACAAGACTAAGCACTTGAGGTGTGTGAGGTTTATAGGTATTTAAAAACCCGGCCTTGGTGAAATGCTTTGCAAGAACTCGATACACAAGACATGTAAGAAAAGATGGGCTGGGACTTTGGCAGCTGAAATAGTCTCAGTGCTTCACTGAGCAGCTCATCAGTTTTGAAGGACAATCTGTTGGCTTATCTATCGGGTAACATCCTGGGGTCAGCAAATTACTGCCACATCTGGCCTGCTTTTATGTGGCCTATGAGCTAAGAACAGTTTTTGTATTTTTTAAGAGCTGGAGAAAAAAACAAAAAGTATGAAGAAAAAAAAAAAAACAAACCAAAGACCCTATATGGTTTGCAAAGGCTAGCAGATTTATTATCCAACCTTTTACAAAAGTCCGTCTACCCCTGAGTAACGGCATCATGGATTTATATTTACTTTATTATCTATTTATTTTTGAGACAGGGTCTCGCTCTTTGCTCAGGCTGGAGTACAGTGGTGCGAACATGGTTCACGGCAGCCTCCCACCTCAGCCTCAGATGTGTATAAGAGACAGTTGCTCAGGCTGGAGTACAGTGGTGCGAACATGGTTCACGGCAGCCTCCCACCTCAGCCTCAAGCGATCCTCCCACCTCAGCCTCCACCATGCGCCACCACGCCCATCTAATTATATGGTGAATTTAAATGACCAATGATATCCTAGGATAGTCAATACCTACAACAAGAACGAAAGGGCACAAAAACACTTGAAATATCATTACTTTACTTTAGTATTCCAGGCATTTTAAATATTCATACAATTGCCTTATTTCAGCAGTCATTTCCTCTCCAGTACAGATTTTGTGTCCAGGATCAGAGCCATGTATATCACCGAATTTTCTCTATAGCACCCGCATGCTACATGGGACCCACTCCGGCGCCTGTGTCTTTGCTAGTAGAACCTCTCACCACGCCTGCAAGAGGGCTGGACCTCCCCTTGCTTGATGTAGCCTCCACTGTGAGTGCAAACACACTTGGAAGCTTCAATCCCAGTACATTTCCAGCACTCCCAGGTGTTCCATGTATGTGGCAATCATCCCGCAGAGCTAGTGACACATCATGTCAGCTGGTACCTATGCCAGCACCTGCTCCACTACATCACACAGATGCTGAGGCACTTAAATGTTCTTGGTAAAATGGAGTTCATAATTGCCATAGGAGTTCAGTGTGGGGGAAGGGGACTTTCTCTCAATAATTAACACCCTTGGCCGGGTGCGGTGGCTCACGCCTGTAATCCCAGCACTCTGGGAGGCCGAGGCGGGTGGATCACGAAGTCAGGAGATCGAGACCATCCTGGCTAACACAGTGAAACCACGTCTCTACTAAAAAATACAAAAAATTAGCCAGGCGAGGTGGCGGGTGCCTGTAGTCCCAGCTACTAGGGAGACTGAGGCAGGAGAATGGCGTGAACCCGGGAGGCGGAGCTTGCAGTGAGCCGAGATCGTGCCACTGCACTCCAGCCTCGGCGACAGAGTGAGACTCCATCTCAAAAAAAAAAAATAACACCCTTAATACACATTTAGCAGATTTATAATTTCATGTCTGTTTACATTTGTTGTCAAAGCTCCATAAACTATTTACGTAAATGAAAGCATGTTCGAGTTTCCAAATGCCGCTACGACAAGCAAACAGAGAAACTGCTTAGATAACACCTGCTTGCGTCATAAATACATGTGGCAACATCTGGTCATTCTTAAAGAAATGCTTGTGTTTCCAAAAAGAATTTTTTTTTTTAAGTCATAAGCCTCATGCAATTCTTCCAAGGTAATAATGTGTTTGTCCTTCCTTCTCAAGTGTGGTTCAAGGCATCTCAAGGCATATTGCTGTCTGAGGTTCTGATTTCACTGGCCGGGCAGAGAAGGGAAGAGTGGGCACTAACATGTTTTAAAAGCTTCACAAGTCATTCGAGCATGTAGTCAGTGTTGAGAACCTTGGTACTAAAGGTTCTTGCATCTTCCTACTGTCACTTGTCCTCACCAAAAGCCCTTGAGGTAGTCCCTGGGTCAGGCAATGATCTCTTTCATGGGCTAAGAAACTAAGGCACAGAGAGGTTAACAGGCTCCTCTGATACTGTGCAGTCAAATGACAGAACCATGATTGCAACTGACAATTCCAAATAAATAATGACTCCTCCCCCAGCAACGGGCAGCACTTACATGGACCAAAAGTATGAAGCCTGACTGCGAGCCAGGCATGACCTTCTGTGTCAAGGACATCATGGAAGGGAAAGGAACAGTTCTGAACCAATCATTCCACATGAACAGAAATAAATACATAAAACCAGGGTTGGTGTTGTGCACCTGTAGTCTCAGCCACCCAGGAGGCTGAGACAGGAGGATCACTCAAGCCCAGAAATTCGAGGCTGCAGTGTGCTGATTGCAACTGCGAATAGCCACTGCGATCCAGCCTGGGCAACATAATGAGACCACGTCCTTGTAAAAAATAATAAAATTTAAAAAATTTTAAAAATATTTATAAACAAAATAAGTGCCTAAGATACTTATTGGAAGCCATATGAGGAATGAGGCATAACTTTTTCTTTTCTTAAAAGTCTTATTTCCCTCATATATATGCCATTGAATCAGGTTTCTCAGAAAATCCATCAAGATTCACAGACTTCCTGACATCTGAATTCTTAGCTCTGTTACTGTGAGGGCTAGAAAACTCGTGAATGTCTCTATAATTTGGGTCCAAAAGATAATTACAAACCTGTGTTAGCATGTGACAGCATTACAAAAACGCCCATGCTTTTTCTGTCACCCGCCCACCTAGACTTGCCAGGGACCCAGAACCCTACAGGTTCTAACTGGGTATACATCTTCCCACGATCCGATCAGATCTCATTCCCTTCTCTGAATTTCCCAAATACCAACCCATCAGCTGCGTTGGGCCTCAAAGATTAACAATTACAACTGACTTTTATTTTGCTCTACAGGCAAACTTTTAAATCTGTATTCTGGGTAATGCCCAGGACGTTTATTTTGTAATTTCAAATTTCCATGAGAGCCAATTCACCTGGGACCTTCTCCATTTCACCCCAAGGTAACACCCTCACATCCTATCAACTATTGCTGCACCTAAGAAATAATTTCTATCATTATTGCCTTTTTCATTGTAAGTTCTCACATCTCATCATGTTCAAGGAGGCAATGATTTTCTCCTCTTTTGTAAAAGTCTCACCTGACTGCAGAAATGTTTTCTTGAGCCAAGCAGAAACAAGGAATGGAGCACACATAGCCATGAAGAAAGAACACAGCACGTTCTGCTGGGGAGGGCAGTTTTCAATGGGTTGCTGTGATTTCCAGGACACTCTAGGAAGGGCCTGTCTACTCAGCTTACACTGAACACAAATGACATCTTGTTCTCCCTACTGCTAGTGATGTGGCCTCCTGAAAAGCCTATAAAGTATTAGTTAATCCAGTAAGTGGAAGCCACTTCTAACAGTACCCATTTGTAGAGACTTACAAGACGCTGTGTGGAGCTGAAACCACTTCTTTCCCAGTTTAGAAGACTTTCCCATTCAGGCAGGACATATACTCTCACATATACTCCCCTGATGCCTACAGGCACAGGAACTCACATCCCTCCTGGAAGGAAACCCGTCCCTCTAGCTACTGCAGAAAGTGCTTGGGGCATAAAAAGAACAAAAAGGGGGAAAGCAACCTTTGTCTGGGGCAGGGCCACTGGGGCGTGGAATTTTACAGACTCCTCATCCTCAAAGAGGTTTTTACAAAGGTTTTAAAAAAAAAAGGAACGAGGCAAAACTGCATTTAGAATTTTGGTTAAAGCAAAGAAAATTGAGAAAATTGAATCATCGTATTTTCAAAGACCTACCATATTCAACCTATTAAGTAAAGCAATATATCATGTTTTTTTTTCTCTCTCATGCTTATTTGATGCTTACAGGTTCAGGGCAGACTTGCCACTTTGTTTCTAAAACATGCAGAGAGCAGACTTAGGGCAGCATATGCTGTTCTGGGGCCCAACCCACACAAACCCTGACAGGTGACTGACCAAACGCCATCAGGAAGGTGATGCGGGAAACCACCTTCACCGAGAGGCCAGTGCACAAAACAAAACTAAGGACTGTTGGTGCATGCTTGTCCAGAGCTGAGTGGCAGAGCGTTACGGAAGGGATGGGCGGGGAACACACAGGCAACCTCCAATATGCTCTAACGTCCAATCCACAGTCCAGAGCAGTGGGGCTGCAGCCGGGCATGGAGCTAAGGCACTAGGGCTGCAGTGGGTGGGAGGCACCGACCAGAGGTCCCAGTGCCCTGCCATTCCCGGGGAGAGGGGAAGGAGCTCTGCTCACAAGGCTGCCTTTGTGTACCAAAGTTGTTTTCAAATGTCTCAACAGCATTGCTGAGTGCTCCGCCTGGGAAGCCCCCTGAGCAACCCTGTCTTCGGGAGCTGCATCCTCTGCTCACGTGCCTTCTTCCATCTCATCTTCGCGAGTGGCCTTTCTTTCCCCTGCTGTGGGCTGGATAAAGAGCAATCCAGTCATTTCACCGTTCCCTGGAGCAGGACCCCGTGCTTTTTCCAAGGCAGCAGGGAGCGCCCCTCCATCACAGCTTGGTGAAGGCAGCTGGCTGGGTCTGAGGTTGCTCCACATCTGGGGGTGGGAAGACACTGGAAATGGCTATGTCCACGATGCCCTGGCACAGTTCTGCATAGAGCTTCCTGAAATGTGTTTTAAAAAATATCATTGAGGATGTTCATCAAAGTGCAAGCAAAAAAAAATAAATGTTTTTTTGTTTTTGAGACAGGGTTTTACTCTGTCTCCCAAGTTGGCATGCGGTGGCACAATCATGGTACATACACCACAGCCTCAAATTCCCAGGCTCAAGGGAGCCTCCCACCTTAGCCTTGCAAGTAGCTGGCACTACAGGTGTGCACCACTGTGCCCAGCTAATTTCAAAATTTTTTGTAGAGACAAGGTCTTGCTGTGTTGCCCAGGCTGCTCTTGAACTCCGGAGCTCAAGCAACCCTCTCACCTCGGCCTCCCAAAGTGCTGCGATTACAGGCGTGAGCCACCATGCCTGGCAGTTTTTCTTGTTTTTGTTTTTTACCAAAATCTGCCCTAGAAATTCTACTTTGTGACCACATTTCTTAAACTGGTTGCCACTCAGCCAGAGACAAAGGTCGAGTTACCCACAAAGGGAAGCCCATCAGACTAACAGCAGATCTCTCAGCAGAAACTCTGTAAGCCAGAAGAGAGTGGGGGCCAATATTCCACATTCTTAAAGAAAAGAATTTTCAACCCAGAATTTCATATTCAGCCAAACTAAGCTTCATAAGTGAAGGAGAAATAAAATCCTTTACAGACAAGCAAATGCTGAGAGATTTTGTTACCACCAGGTCTGCCTTACAAGAGCTCCTGAA